CTCCCGTGCGTTTCACTCGCACGATATTACCTCGGGACGCACGACCGCGGTAGAGAAATGGATAACGACTCCGCGGCGCCGTCGCGGCATTAATGAACCGGTGAAAATGTTCCCCGATAATTCGACGGTATGTTCAGTTCTTACGTTAGCCCGTGGGATAACCGCCGCAAGGCCGCAAGGCCGCGGCTTTTCCAATTATGTTTTCTTTTGCATCGACCTGAGTGGGAAGAGCATCGCGGAAGTGCGGACGGAGGGTTGCTTTTCTTCGGCTATACACACCGTGTTCGCGCGGCGCGCAACATTCGACCAGCTGCGGCGCGGTCGTGGACCGCGTGGCTGATGCTTCGACGTGTCGACGAGTAAAACAAACGGATCGTTACGATATAGTGGCAGGTAGGGACGAGTGGCGGAGCGAAGGTGGAGCAATAAGAGGCATACGGCCTCGTTAACTCGTCGTTCCACATCATTTGCTCGCGCGAGCACGGCCGCGCCACGGCGCAATATCGCTTTATTAGAAAGTAATAACAGTCGTGGTAGAAACAAAGAGTAAATTTATATCGAGCTACATAAGACGTACGCCGTGGCATCGAGATATATCACCTGACCATTCCTTGTATCAGGGCGTCCTGGCGCCCTTTTCCGGTTTAGAACGTGCGCGCCGTGCTGCTCGATCTCGTTTCCTCGACCGCGGCTGATCACCGCGAGGGTTAACCCCATTTCCTGTCGAATACGAAGATAGAGATCTCTCGCGTCACCGCCCGGATCTCGGCTGCGCCGATTCTCTCGGTGAATTTTGTCGAATGAGCGAAAACGAGAGGAAAAGAGAGAGAAAGAGAGAGAGAGAGAGTATGCGCGGACGAAAAAGAATGAGAGAGGAAAGGAGATTGAGATCAAGTTCGACTTTTATTTTTCTCGGTCGAACAAGCGGGAAAGCGCGGCGCGGACGTATGTAGATTTTAATCTGTCTAGGGATAACGTAACTCGGAGAAATTGCATCATCGTAATCATTTGCGCCGTATATCATCCGTGTACGCGCCTCTATTTGCCTGTCGACCAGCGTGAGTGATAAAACGCCCGACAGCAACTTTGATATACGCCGCGCTATCAGCTATCAATAATCTCCGTCGTTTGCGACAGTATACCGTCATTACGATATGGTAATAAACGTTCGCAACATTGATTCCCGGTAAACGAGGGGCATCGTTTGACCCGAGATGCACCGATAAGTAGGAAGTTACTCGCCGATTCTTTGTCTCTCTTAATGGCGAAAAGCTTAAAGGCTTTTCTTTCCTCGTAGACGCCGCGCCGGCAAATAAACGACTAATAATTAATTATTACCAGGAAGTCTAGGCGGCATTTAAGTACTCTTCCCTCCCGCCTGAGAGTCGTTAAAAAACATTCACGGTATCATTACACGATAATTAATTACCTAATAATCAATATCGCGATAGATGATCAATGCGAGCCGATAAGTGTAAAAGACGTCCAAGAAAAATTAGGAAGCGTGCGTGTCGAGTGATACCGGGTTTTAAGAAGGATAAAATTTAGCGTTTCTGCCTCTTGAATCTTGGAAGCGAATTTATGCGCGAGTCCCATCATTCGAGAAGCGGTACGAACCAACTCGTTTGGCGGTCGGAAATGTGCGGCTATTTTTTCATTTCTACTCTATTAACGCGAGAACATCTCGTGCGTGTAGTATAGTATATACAACCGACATACATCCTCCACATACGCTCAGGTGTCTGTTGGTTCGCGCCATTAATACCGTTTCCGATAATAGGGAGTGGTAGTCTGTCGAACGCGCGCGGGAACGGGGGCGACCGTGAAATAAACGAGCAGCGCGTCTCGTGCGGGAAAACCGACCGCGGCAGCGCCGTTGATTTTATTAATCCTGGATCGGAACGAAAAGAGAGCGCGAGACGATCGAAGTTGGTGAAGGAAAGAGCTCGTCGCGTCTCGTCTAGCCAGAAATTTGCCAAAAGTTCGGCTTTCCGGTATGTCCGTCACGTAACCGGGCCGCGAGTACGAGGCTCTCTTCCATTTCACAACCGGTTTGAATGAAATTGGAAACATTTCTCAACCGCCACACACCGCCCGCGCGCGCTTGCTCGTTCGCATGGTGTGTATGTGTGTACGTAAACTCATACGAGAGCGCGCGACTCATACGTGCATACGTGTGCACGTCGGTAGGTAGGTAGGTAGGTAGGTAAGGTAAGGACGCGAGTCGTCGGCGAACGGAGCCCGCGGCCGACTTATAAAGCAGACAGGGGGATCAGGTTGAGCCGCGCCGTAAAAGCGCGGGCGCGAGCCTTACGATCTGACTGATCTGCCGCGGTACATTTATGACGGCCCTCTTTCCCGTCCTTTTCCATCGCCCGACGTCGTTTCCGCTGAAGGAGACTTATCGTCGGCGTGCACCAGATGCCACGTTTCTTTTCCCGGTGTCTAGCTACGTCGACTTCGCCCTTTCTCTCTCTCTCTCTCTTCCTTTTCCGTCGTTCACCCTTTCCCTCTCGATCCCGCGTCCCCGAGCCTACCTCCGCCCGGCCTCGCTTCTCCCTTCGACCGGAGCGGACTCACTCTTCTTCCTCTCCGCTTTTCCCCCGCGGAGAACGGACCTTCCGCTACTCTTTCCGCGCGCGCGGGATGACGTCGGGTTAATAAAGTTCCGCTCGTTCCGCTGGACGCGCGGAGGCAAAGAAACGGCTAAATGAAGCTGTACGTAGAACGAAGCATATTTTAATGTCTTACTTCCCGCCGATAATATACGTGCTCGGTGTGTAAATACGATGAACTTGGTAATGCGCCGCAGAAACCAGTTCTCCTCGACGCGCGCGCGCGGGCGCGCGAGCATGAGCACGGCGCTAACCTTCCGCGCACTGAGTTCTCTGGGTCTTTATCTCGATTTGGCGGAAGAAAGAGAATAGGTTGGAGGCGAGAGCCCGTCGGGAATAAATTGTTGATCCCCGCGACCTTGCTCGCCGAGTGATCCGAATGGAGGCAAATCAATGACGCGTTTGTGCGCACACAGCCATCGCGATGAATACATCAGTGCGTGCAACGCGGCCGTCTCTGATGCCGAGGCGATCATCGTGGGCTTCCATGGTCGACAGGCCTAACGAGCGAACACGGGCGATTATCATCCGTTCGTTTCGTAGAAGGGGACCAGGAGAAAGAGGCACCGAGAGAAAAAGAGGGAGAGGGAGAAAGGTGCGGAGGAAGAGACACTTGGATCTCCTGTATTAATTCCGACCACCGCGGTACCAAGGCGGCAGCAACGATGACGACGACGGAAAAAGCAGCGCGCAATATAATCGCAATAGGTGGTGAACGAAAAGGGAAAAAGATTTTAACGGATAGGTCCGCTTGTCGCGAGAAAATAGGAATTACAGCGGCGCGCTTGGTTGCGCCATTTGCCAGGATGGATATATGCGCGCTCTAATGACGCGCGTAAAAGCAGGTACTTGGGCTGTTTTTCATGTCATAATCCCGTGTAATTGCCGTTATACGGCCTTACCTAATAAAGGAGAAAAAAAAAATTGGACGCAGCTGCCGCGAGATGGGAAAAACCAGTTTGAGGCGATCATGTCTTACGCATATTGCGTGCGACGGCCGACGCCCGCCGCGTTACGCGATCCTTGACATCCGCATTCTACAATATCTCTCCCCTTCTGTGGGCGAGAGAGAGAAAGAGAGAGAGAGAGAGAATCCAACCGCTTTCTTTCTCCGCGCGGCGCGCTTGCGACGCCATTGCGCGAGAGAGCAAAATCACGCCGTCGACTGCCTCGTCGTTCCCGACTTTGGGATACAGTTGGAAATTTATGTGGGAGCGACATATGGATAAGATTACCATTATTCCGCATCCACACGCCTGAACTCTACGTGCGAGCGAGTGAACGAACGACCGGTCATGTCGGAATTTCAGAATTAATGCGGCGCAGCTTAGTTGAGTCGGCGGGTACCGACGTCGCGTATGAATTACGAGTGTGCGAAATAAAAAACGACGAAGGAGGGGAAAAATACAAGCGGCATTTCTCGCGGCTGCCCCACGCTGATTATATTTGTTATTGTTGGGTAGTTCCCAGATGGTTAAAAACAGAAAACACTGGAGGCGGAGGAGGAGGAAAGAGCCAGAAATGAATTTGACGTCTCGGAATGCGCGACGCAAACGGCTCTCGGTTAACAGCGGCGCTTGATGGCATTTTAATTCGTTTCTTGTGCGCGACGAAAAAACCGCGGAAATCGTATACACGCAGCTACCAGGATAATAGAGAGGAACAGTGCGAAAGAGAAGCACAAGTGGCGAAGAATGCGCGCCGCAAATGTCATAATATCGGTGCCGCCGTCGCTCGCTAACGGTAAGCGAACTCGGCAAAAGCCTCCCGAACGGCGAAATCGTCGCGTACCGAACAGCCATTCGGCACAGGTGTTTATGTATTATTCGAACGACAGGTAACGGCGTGAAACAATTGGTTACGTGACTTGCAACCCGTCGGAAGGGACCGAGGGAGCACGAGGAAGTTCGTTTTATTACATTCCATGTATCGAGTTCTCCCGTCCGCTCCCACTAAAGTGAATTTACGCGCTGTGAACGAAATTAGCAACGAACACCTTTATGTCATTCTTACAACTGTCCGCTCGTTCGCGTTGCCAAGTTGAAGCGCGAATCTCTTGTGTTTCACCGAGTGAACATCGCGGCGACTCTTGACTAATTAAACAGACCGCGCAAATTCCTTGACAAACAAATTCAATTGGACTGAACCAATTAGTCCGCAACGTTCATTTAAGTGGACGACTACTGAGTCTAGGTCCCATCGTCGCTGCGTTAAATCGGTTTCTCGTGATTATTGACCCGTACATCTGCTCAGAAATTCTCTCTCTCTCTCTCTCTCTCTCTCTCTCTCTCTCTCTCTCTCTCTCTCTCTCCCTTTTACACGAATTTCAACAAGCCTCCTAACGCAGCAAGCCATTCATCGTCCTCTCTCTCGCTTTGGTTACAGATACTGCTGTCGCACTTCGACGCTTTCAAGTTCCCGAGTTCGGAAGTGGTGCAGTTCCGCGCCCTGGTGACTCCGTGCATGCCGACCTGCGAACCCGTTCAATGCGATCAGGAGGAAACGACTGGCGAGTTACGCTCGGTCATCTCCTACGGCAGACGCCGTCGTCGCCGTCGCTCCACCGCCGCCGCCACTGCCGCCGCCACCACCACCCAGAGTCGCGAGGATCTCCTCCTGGTGCAATCGATCCAGATCACGGACAAGTTCGGATTCGAACGTGACGGTAAGTTACCGAACGCCACCTCCGCGACGAGGGACACCGTTTTCATCGAGAGCGAGGACATATCGTCGTCGATGGGCATGTGCATCAACCTGGGTGAGGCGATCGTGGCAGGCACCGTCTTCCTCGTCGCTCAGATCGCCATCATAGCGGCGTGGACCTTCACCTGGCAGCGGCGCCGACAGATGCTCAAGCATCAGGAGGCGCTCTCGGTCTCCGTGTCTGTGCCCGGAATGCACTCCGTGCCGGGACGCACCGACAGTCTCTGTAAGTTGTACGACGCCGGATATTCCGCGCGCCGTTTCTGAACGACTTCTCACCACCATCCGCCCGCCACATCCGCTCGCCTACCCGCGACACATCGTCAATCTCGTCTTCCTGCGTAAATCGCTGTCTTACGAATCTTCGGCTGACTACACACGGACGTGAGTTCTCTCAAACGCGCGGTCCCACCTGCCCCATCTGGGGGAGGAAAGGGTCGCGTGTGTGACGGTTTCTTTTTTTTTTTTCGATACACACAGCGGACAAAACGCTTCTTCTCACGGAATCTTTCCCCGGAATTCGGGACGGACGCTGCGCTACTTCGTATATATCAAACTTCGACGTGCGTTGTAGCGCGTTGCGACTTGGTCCCAGCCAATATATACGTAGCGCTTTCAGCGAAAGAAGCCCTTTGCCACCCACGCTTACCCGCTGTAACCCATGGGTGGAAGCTTTCACTAGGCGTTCTGCGAATTCCAGTTAGATTCGGCTAGATGGGCAGATCGCGCGCACCTCGCCTCGCCTTGTCGGGCGGCGGTGACTCGAATAGAGAGAAAGCAATCGTCTCGATCGAGGAGACGAGGTGGGTAAACGACCGCTCCCTTCTGCCTATCTAGACGAAAGTGTATCCGCATCACACTTGTATTAGGTGCTATCACGTACTTATCCTCTTTCTCTTGTGAAACTTCATTTTCTCTCGCAGCTGGGACCGTTAAGGGAAACCGATCGATTTCGCGATATCGCTTCAAGCTTCGACATTTGCTTTTGGGGGCGCGAGCGCGCCCTCATCTTGCCGTCCCTCGCGAAGGGAGTCTCTCGCGCGCAATTACATACTCGCGTATGCACACGTGCTAATAATGCCGCTGGATCACTGAACAGAATAATTAGGCACAATTGCGCTTGATTACCCCGCCACATCTGTCGCTTATTGAGGCACAAATACCGGTGTGTTTCCCGATCGGCATTTCTACCCCCAAGGTCGGCGCAACGAATCGTACCGAATGTATCATCAATCTCGTCTTTCTGTCTCTCAGGCGGTCGGTTATTTCGTGGAAGGAGCAAGACTGCAATTACGATCCGTACCGGCAACCTTTAATTAACGTGACGTTCAGTGTCCAAGCGGCCTTCGTGCGTGTGCGTACTCCCGTTCAACGAAAGTCGAAGTCGTCTTAAAGAGACGTTCCTTTGAGGCAGATCAAAAGGGCACGATTAAAAAAAAAGAGAGAAAGAAAAGAAAGAGAAAAAAGAAAGAAGGAAGAGAGAAACCTCGGGGATCTTCCATCTCGCGGACGCGCGTTCTTTCTCTCGCGTGATATCACGTCGATACTTAATCCGTATCTGATCGGGGAACGCATACCGAGAATCACACGGTTTCGCCGTGGATAAATCGATTTCCTATTCTGTTTCGGAATAATAGCGCGTATCTCGGCATACCTCTTCCGGCGATAAGTAGTCGATAATGTAACGGCGCAAAAATCATCGCCGTGCGCAAAAGAGAGTAATCGATTCCGCGCGAGTTCGGTCGGTTTCTTGCGAGAGTGCGCGAGCGTGCACCGTCTTGTCGTGCCGGCCGTCCATACTCTCTCCGTTTTGTCCCCGCCGTCGCCTCCGAGCGCTTTTGCTTCTTTTCGAGACGACGCGAGGTGACGTGGGGGACTCGTCTCAGCGCGGTGTGGCTCCGCTGGTGATGGAGGTTGACGTGCATTCGCCACGTCGGGATGGGCTACCAGGCATGGACTCTAATTAGCAATGGGAATTGGGCATGATTATGCAGATGTTCGGAGTGGGATATCAACGATGGTCGGTAGCGCGGTGAAGGGATGGGTGAATACAGAGATAGGTAGCACGAGGCATAGAGTGGAGCTAAGCGCGGGGATGAAAGAGGGAGAAGAGATTGAGACGGAACGAGAAACGGTGGTAGGACCACAACGTGTGGTGGTGAGCTCGGGGCGAAGAGGGGGACGGCAGAAGAGGTACGCGCGCAAAAGGGGTTGGCGGAAGGTTAATTGCCTCTTGTGGCGTCTCGGGGTTAAGCTAAGCTTCTGAAGGGGGGGTAGCGCGCTTGATGGGGTTGAGTCTAGCTTCGGGAGCGGAGGGGTTGCGCGAGGAGAAGCGCGGGAGGGAGAGGGAGTGGGTTGGGGTGGCGTAGGATCGCATCAAGGATAGCCATCTCTCCACACCGGAGCCACGTAACCTCGACCCCCTTCCGACTTAACCTTAGTCGTGTCCCTTATCCTCAGCCATCCCGTGGTGACCAGGTTAATTTACATCGCGACACGTGAGCTTATCAATCTGGATTGGCGTGCTCGACACGGAAGAGGCCGCGTAACAGCCGATTAAAGAAAAACTTGGCGCTACTTCGTTACGTAAGCGACAAAACACCGCGCTCCATCGGTCCGCGATCTCACGGGTATCTCGGGGAAATCCTGAAGAACAAAATCGATAATGTCAAACACAGAAAATTCCAGAACATTCGTTCAACAACTGTCGCGTCGCTGCGCCGCGAGATCTTTATTCGTGTAGACCGCGCATAAAACGTATTTGCGGATTTATCGGCGAGTTGAATAATAAAAGAAAAATCGCGACATCTGTCTTCAAAGTATTCTGCAATTGACGCAATTAACGCGCGAGAATAACAATTCCTGGATGATCGTTCAGACGTGTTCCAGCGTACGCGAAATGTTTACATGTGACCGAATATCGTCTGATGTAATAATCACGCGATCGAGCTTGACTGAATTTCGTCGTGTCCAAATTCGTGTTCGCCTTCGGAGTACATGAAGCGGAAGAAAGCGATAGACAAAGACTTAGATATTGGCGAATGCCGCGCGTGTAATACACCGCGGCACGGAGAAATACAAATCGGTTAACTGTGCCAGTGGTGCTTTATCGATTTCCCGAGGCACACAGGAGCTGACGTGCAGAGAGATCGGATTAATTGAGAAACTTGAGGATTAAAATACACTCGTTAAGACAAACAGAAGGAATGGGATAGATAGATAAAGAGAGAGAGAGAGAGAGAGAGAGAGAGAAGGACAGAGACAAAATTAGAATCTCCAATCGTTCCGAAGTGTTTGCAGTGTAGTTAACCGAACTTTGGATTGTTCTGGTGTTTGACCTTTATCCCGTTGCGCGTGGCGAATATACGCGTACGCTCTGGAGAGAAATTCCGCTTTTACTTGTTACACAATTATTTTTCAATCACACTACGTGGCAAGATTTTGTCTCACGCGTGGTGATAACGTTTCGATACGCAAATTGGGAATTTTTTTATCTAGAATGGTTACTATCGGGATCACTCCGCGACGAGAGCGAGACGATAATAATCCGCGAATATTTTGTCAACTGGCTGAGAATGTGTTACAATTGTTCCGCGGTCATTTATGTTAACAAAGTCGAATCGGAAAAGGGCATGCGCGCGTATATTGCGTATATTGCGCCTATCGAAATTCCGGCTTTAATTATAGGGTCTAATTGTCGCCGGACGTTGCTAGGCTTTTCTCGCGCGAGACCGTTGGAGCACACACGCCCGCACTAAAAACCAAATGGAATTTCGCCTCTTAAATCAAGCGCCATTGATCCCGCCGAGCGCGCGCGAGCACGCGCAAAAATTGAAATGCGGGAAATGCGCGCGTGCGTATTTTCCGGTGTATTTCCGAAACGCGGTTCAATTACATTCGCATTAACGAGCAACGGGCGCGCCGATGTTCACATTGCGCTGTCGCGCATCGCGACCTGGCGCGATGTTAAAACTTCCTTTCCGCTTCACCGGCGCTGCTTCTATGCGCGTATCCGCCGCTTGATAGACGTACATGAATACCGACGTAAATATAAATATAAATACGAATATAAATATACATATACATACGATGATAAACATGCCAACGAAGGTGCCTACGCGTACAGTAAGCAATGCGACGCACAATGGTCTTACGATTTTTCCACCCACGTGTATGTTTCTTTTTTTTTCTAACTTTTTTCCTCTCTGCTCCTCTTTTGTGAAAGTTAACAACCACACACACACACACACACACACACACATATACACACACACAAACACACACACAAACACACACACATTGACAAACAGACAGACAGACATACAATCCCCAATTATGGATTTACATATAAGAATTTTCGCTAACGCTGCGGTAGTATATCCAACCTGCTTGTGGTGAGAGGGTAGAACCAATTTTATACATGTTCGACGATATCAGTACGAACGCATTCAAATGGTGTTGCGTGCGCGAGCGCGCGTACGGGCGTCGAAAAGCGCGAGCGCGATGAACGCTCTGCTCCGGGCGCGAAACCGTGCGTACGCGGTCGCTCCGCGCAACGCTTTAGCGACGTAATTTCCAGCAACGCATATGTACGAGCGCGTATGGAGTGGCGCGAGCAGAATTTCGCAGTTCTTCGCCTCGCCGCGAGAAGCGGTCTTCGATGCGAGGAAAGACGAGCGAAAGAATAAAGAAAGAGCGAGAAATAGAGCGGCTGATGGCTTAGCTCTCTCGGGCGCGAGAGATGAGGAGGTGCACCGGTGCCGAGCAAGGAGGTGCCGGGAACTCGATGTGGAGCAGACCCGTCACAGTCATTATTTTACACGGGATCGCGCGTGTTGTATCCACGGGGAAGACGTGTGAAATTTTCTCGCGCCACCTCGTAGACAACGAGCATACTCCGAGTTAATAACGATAACGATGCGTGTGCACTTTTCATCGACTTGGTCGAACCGCGAAAACGCGCGGCATGCGCCGCCACGTCGTCGCATGTCCCGTCCGCGACGTTTGACGCAACTCAATGGAAACTGCCGAGTACGTGAAGTAATGATTATTATTATTATTATTATTATTATTATTATTATTATTATTATTATTATCATTAATTAATTAATTGCCTTACATTTAAAGCGTATACGATGTGGAAGTGAACGGAAAGCAGCAGAAAGAAAGGAAGGAAGAAAAGTAAAAAAAGAGCAATCATGTTTCATCAATATAATAACGTAATTAAGATTAAGTTAACGCGCCCTGCGGTCTCGGCGGCTATGGGATCGAGGCCGCGGAAGGCAATTGCGAAGGAAAGATAATATTGGGCTCGAGGACGATCGCTCTCGATGATATCAACGCGCCTGTGCCTGCAATCCCGGACGGCCGACTCCGGTTAGCCGCGAGCAATTCAACGCGGTCGGCGTCTCGTCGTTCCTGCGTACAAGTACCACTCCGGCTTCTTCTCCGCCCGCTTCCCCCCTTCTCGCCCTCTCCTTCACCCTTCCTCTCTCCCCCTTCCCCTCTCGTCCTGTTCCCTCGCGCTTTCCTCCCTATCGTCCATCTTAATGAGGGTTATGTTTATACCCCGTACTTCTTCTTACCGGGAGTATCCGCGAGTTTGTAGAGATGTCGGTGCTTGTCCTCGAGCCTGAGGTGCGCGCGCCTGCTCCGTCTCGTAAGCTCGAGAAGCTCGAGTCTGTTCTGTACCATGACAAGCGTGTATTTCTGCTTTTCTCTGTCCTGTACATCTTCTTTTCCGCCCGGCCCCTCGTGTTCGCCCCATTCTACCTCCTTCTCATCTTCGCTCCCCTCTCTGTCCCTCTCTCTATCCATCTATCTTTCTCCCCCGCATATCTCGCTTCCTGAGGCCCCCCTCTTCTTTTTCTTCTTCTTCTTTTCTCGCCATGCCGAGCCGAGCGCCACGTCGGCCTCGCCAAATTAAACCATTTTCATCGCGAACATACATACGTCACGTACAGAACTTACCCGACGATCGCGAGCGTTCTTATGTTATAACCGCGCACCAAGCATAATCGCTTATTTATTTTTTACGTTAACGTATACTGCCCTTCAAGAATACTCGTACCCTGTCACGCCTATTTTTTCCCCCCTCCCCCTCCCTGCCCATCCACGACCGGCGTACCAACTACCGTTTTAATAATACACCCGTCATACCAGCCACGCACTGAAACTGCTATGTAATTTAACGAATCACTCCGCTGACGTTAAACGTAATGCGTGCGTGTTTCTAATTAATTCTCATATATATATTTTTTTTCTACATTATCGAGACGCATCTTTCTCGCCGAACGTCGTATATGTCAGTACCGTAACACACACGTTGTACATAGCATATATGGTACAGAGAAAATAAACTCATTTTATAACGAAAAAGCGTCGTTGTGTTTTTCTTTCACGCGTATCTACGGATCACATCCCCCTTCGCGGCGAGCCTTCTCCACCGAGAGAAACGTGAAACGACGTTTGGCTAGCTGCCAACACTAAATTTTCAATTCGAGTATAAGTCAGGGAGAGAGAGAGAGAGAGAGAGAGAGAGAGAGAGAGAGAGAGAGAGAGAGAGAGAGAGAGAGAGAGAGAGAGAGAGAGAG